GGAATTACAGGCATGCGCCAACACGCCCGGCTGATTTTTGATTTATGTAGAGATGAGGTCTCGCTGCCCAGGTGGGTCTCGAACCCGCGGGCTCAGACAATCCACTTACCTCAGCCTCCCAAAGGCGTGGGATTACAGGCTAAGCCACTGAGCCCGGCCCACACATTTTTTTAAAAATCTATTACTAAAGCCACAGTTCAGTTTTATTTCAATCTATCCTGCTTCTGAATATAAGACATAATTATATGCCTTTCCCAGCAAAGACAATCAATATGATGAAACTTTTCCACCCTACTGTCTTCTGTTTCCTACAAAAGTTGCCAAATGGCAGGGAAATTTTCCAGACTATAATTTCCTCTGCAGGGAAGTCTTATGATGGGCTTCACAAATACCATAAATCAATGTAAGCCGACTGCACATCCGTGACCGCAAAGGATAAAAAGGGAAAGTCCCTCAATATATGTCACATATCACAGTTCTGAAACTACATTACAGCAGTGTTTTCCAAATTACATGAAGTAGTACATCTGAAAATAACTTTTTGCAAAAAAAATGAAATAGAATAGAACATAGAACACATGTCCCTTTGTAAGGGAAGCTACTGATTTGTGAAATATTTGTCAGGGTTATGCACACACATATGAATAAATTTCTATTTACGGGTCATGGTCAAAAAAAGTCTGAAAGTCACTGCATTGTGGACATAAAACTGAGGAAAGGGTAAAGAACAGAAAGTGGGAATGTGTCATCCACTGAAGAGTCAGGATGATCAAAGGCCAACAAATTAGCCCAGTACAAGTAATGACCTCACTGCTGCTACCACAGGCCTTCCAAAATCAATACAGAGGAAAGCTGCTGTTACAGTTTGAATTTTGTTTCTCTAAAATTCACATGTTGAAGCCTTGCCTCCCAATGTGACTGTATTTGGAGATAGGGCTTTAGGGAGGTAATTAAGATTAAATGTGGTCATTAGGGTAAGACCCTCATTCAGTATGACTGGTGTCCTGAGGAGAAGAAGAGACACCAGGGATGGCGAGCACAGAGAAAAAGCCACACTGAGGACACAGAAAGAAGGCAGCTGTCTGCAAGTCAAGGAGAGAGGCCTCACCAGAAACCAACCCTGATGGCACCGCGATCTTGAACACCTCAGCCGGCCAAACTGCAAGAAATAAATATTTGTTTTTTAAGCCACTCCGTCTGTGGTAATTTTTTATGGCAGCACTAGCAAACTAATGCAGCTGTCTAAAACCTAAATTTATAGAAATATTGTGGATTATCATAGAAGTACAGCTAGCAAAATTACACCTTGTCTTATGAAGGTCCCTTCATTTTCTAAAAAAGACTTTTCTACTGTCCAAGAAAATTAAAGTCCAGTGGTTCTTAAAGTCTGTCCACACAAGAAGTCAAAAATTAGATTTATTAATGCCTATGCAAAACTAAAACTCAGTATTGGAAACCTCAGGTAAGACCACAAAATGAGCAATACTGATGATTC